GCGCGGGTACCTTGGTGCCCTGGTGGAAGTCGTCCACGGACCGCGCGCCCATGAAGGGGAACTGCATGTGCGTGTGCGTGTCGATGCCGCCGGGCAGCACGAGCTTGCCGGCGGCATCGAGGACCCGCAGGCCGGCGGGCGCGCCCCCGGGCGGCAGCAGGTCGCGCCCGAGCGCCCGCACCACGCCGTCCTCCACCAGCACGTCGGCCACCTGCGAGAGGTCGTCGTTGACCACGCGTCCCCCGCGGATCAGGAGCCGCGACGGCGCCGCCATGGTGCGGGGGGTGGGGACGGGGGCTGCTCCTTCACGGTCCCCGAGGACGGCCGGCACCCTCGGCTCCGGCTCCGAAGCGCGGGCGAGCGCGGAGCCCCGGCGCCCGGGCCGGTTTCTCGACTGGCCGCGAGGGCGGACTCCACCCCGGGAGGGCTGGGCTCCCGCTGGCAGGCTGGGACAGGCCGGCCCCGCGCCGCTCCCACCCCGGGGTCCCGTCGCGCCGAGCCTAGGAGTCCGAGTCCTCCGACGGGAGAGTCTTGCAGTTTTACACGTCTGTTTTCCTTTATAAGAAAAGGCACTTTGGGGGAAAGAAATCCACCTGTATCCCTACCCTTGAAGATGAACTGTCTGTCCCAAGACACACACACACACACACACACACACACACACACACACACAGAGCAACACCTGCAGCAACAATGATAATACCCACGCCAGAAAGAACCACTTGATCTGGATTTCCTTGTAAAAATATTCTTTGTATGAGGAGTGAATCATCATCACACAATCCGAGTAATTGGCAGACACAGAGTGAAAGTTCAGAGTGAAGTATTTAATCTATTTGAAAGTAAAGCGGTTTGATATCAACTATTCTCCAGATTTTAATGATGCAATACAGACCAGCAAGGTTTTCATGGAAAATAGCTGGTAATGTAACTCTAAAGATCTAGGCTTTTCCTCAGGTTTTTCACAAAACTGGCTTAGGGATCTTCAGTTAAATCTTTCACCGTCTTGAGTCCTCAGTTTTCTCATACATAAGACTGTGATAATACTTGTTCTCCCCTTCCAGACTTGCTTTGAGAAGCAGATATGGTGATGGATGTGAATGCACCTTAATAAAATGGGAAATACCATATAAACTTATTTAACAAATACTGGCTTTGTAAGGACTGACCATTGGGGCTGGATGGGGGTGTGTTAGAGGGGTAAGCGATAAAGATAAATGACATTCTTGTCCTCAAGGAGCCAAGAGCCAATGGTGACACACATAGACATTCAATATATGACGAATATATAAAACAGAAAATTCTACCTTTGAGAGAGGATAAAGATAAGAGTTTAGAGGAAAGGGAGAGTGGATTTTGTCTTGAAGAAAATCAGATATAGAAGACGGTCACATGCAGCCTCAGGGATGGCATTTTCAATAATGGAATGCAGGGTATGGCCAAATTTCCTCAGCTCTCAGATTGCACATGCGTCAAAATGATTAAAAATTAGAAAGCCTCAATTATTTCAAGTTCCGGATTTGGCCATCAAGCCAGGAACAAGAAATCCAAGAAGGTTATGCGATTGTTATGGAAAGGGTGTGGTGTAAAGGTGAAAGGAATAATTTTAAATGTAATGAAACTCCTACAAACTATTCAAATAGCATACCACCTCAGGTAAATAAGATGAGATGTCAGGGCGGTTGCGACATCCTTTCTGAAACTGTCCAGGTGAATGATTTCAAAAGTTTCTTTATTTTAGATGCTTTATATCATGAAATGCCCTGCAACACAACACAAAACAGACTTCCCACGTTTCATGAACTCAAACTTTTATCAGAAAAGGGGTTTGTAGAATATCACTAGAACAGGAGGATGTGGTTCATTGAGATTCACTGAGAGCAACACAAGAGAGAGTGGGCAAGTTTAAGGAGAAGCATTAATCCGCAGGAAGAGTTATTCCCCCTTCTGGTGGGACATCAGTGTCCCACACCAGCTCACTGGGCAGGAGGAGCCTGGGCAAACATGCTCCTTGGACGAAGCGTGTCCTCAGAATAGCCCCGCCCCTCTTGGCTTCGGCCTGTTCGCCTGCCTCCTTACCCACATGTCTACAGTGAACAAGGATTTGGGAGACAGAGACTCGATGTTGGTGGGAAGCAAGACTGCCATTTTGCATTCCTCCTGCTGGGGAAGAGTCTAGTTGATTGACTCACAGAACAAAGTGTGTCTGAGAGCACTCCTCAGAGGACGAACTGACACTCAAAGATTTATAAAGATTGATGCTTAATCACAGAACAGCCCTGATGGATGGTTTAAAGGGGCAGCAAGGTAGAGGAGAAAATCGTGACCTCCCTCACTGAGTGCCTTGCGTTTAGCGGGAAACAAATCCACCAGGCCCAGTGGTATTTAAGTCCTCAGCAAGCCTGGTGTCCAGGAGTTTGCTTCCCGTATTCTCCTAACCTGTCCCGCTCCTCTTCTAGGACCCAGGGGTCCTCAGAGGGTTTCAAGCAATTGTTCATGGGCAGAAGGAAAGGATGGTGAGGGTGTGCAGGCAACACCTCAGAAAGAGAGAACAGGACAGAACCGGGTGTCTCCAGACAGCATGCCCCAGCTGGGGTCTGCAGGAAGCCCCAGTTCCCTGTCCCACTCTGGGATCCAAGTCCCTGGCAGGGTAATGAGGTTATATTTGAATCAGTGATCGAAGAGGGGAGTAGGCAGCATGGACAGGTCAAAATAGAACAAAATCAAATGAGGAATTGGAATTAGGAGTCTAATCCTGGCTCTGATGCCAACTTCTGGTGTGAGCTTGGTTGAGTCATTTACTCTCAGGGCCTCTGTCTCTTCAACTGAAAAATATGGAGTTAAGTTAATAGGACCTACCCTCCGTGCTTTTAGAGTTTTATGATTCTATGAACAGGGACAGAAGCTCATCCAGAGAGTGCGCTGCATAGCCCTAGAGTTCAACTCTTCTCGGGTCAAGGTGGGTGACTTGGAGACCGAGTAGGACTTGGCTTTGAGATTCAGGACTATTTTATTTCTGGTCCCTCCACTGAAGCAGAGGGGCTCTGCTTGGGAAGGGTGCCACCTACAGAGTGTATAACCCGCAGTCATCAGGGGACGATGCTTGGTGGGACTGATCTTGGAGTCTGTGTGCTGATGAGCAGGGATGACATTTTTTCACTGTTCAGCAAGGACATTCATGGCAGGTGGGAATGGTCCCCTGACTCTGGAGGGCCAGAGAGAGAGAGAGAGAGAGAGCTGGTCATCGTACAGCTCCAGAGGGCACTCTTCCCTGAAGCACCAGTTCTGGGTAGAGGGAGATAGCTGTCCTGAATAACAATACCAGCATCCGTAGCTAAGAGTTATCAGGCACTCAGGTCAAGTTGGGACTGGGCCAAATACTTGACGTACCTTATTTTACTTCACTCACTCCCACAAGAACTCTTTGAACCGAATGCTATTTTTCCCTTTAATAGATGACGCTTTTGAGGTCGAATGGTTTGCCCAAGGTCACATAGCAATAAATACTGGAGGTAAGCCATTCTGGAACCTGTAATCTACCCATTATGTGACTCCAGATTCCAAAGCCAGGTTCAGCTCCTGGCTGCCCGGGGGCCTCAGGTGACGTGAGTGGATAAATGAGGATCCAGGAGTGAAATCCTACGTCCCTGACACTGACTTCAGACCTCTAGCGCCCATATTGGGCTGTGGCAAAGCTGCTCATAGTCACCTAAACTGTGATGCTTCTATGGTGGAGCCATTCTGTGTTCTTGCTCAGGTAACCAAGGTCATGAGTGGTAAAATAAGTAAATAAGTAAATAAAATTATAAAGTGGACTTTTTGGTAACAAATTAACAAATCTCGTGGGACCAGATCCAACACACCCACGCTGACCTGCCTTGGGGGAAAACTTTCGGACATGTGATCATGTGAGTCCAAGAAACTCAAGGAAAATACCTTTTTTTATTTTTAAAATGGGGAGCCCAATGCAGGGCTTGACCTCACAACCCTGAGATCAAGACCTGAGTTCACAACCTGAGCCGAAATCAAGAGTCAGACGCTTCACCGACTGAGCCACCCAGGTGTCCTTCAAGGAAAATACTTTCTAAACGTTCTTATCTCCTATACAGTTTGGTCCTACATGGTTTTTATTTGTTTGCTTGTTTTTTGTTTGTTAAAATATTCTGAGGCGAAGCTGCCAGGTGTAGGCACGCCCTAGAAAAGCGGGCTCTAGCAGTGTGTCTTCGTTTCCTGCAGCTGCTTTAACAAAGCACCACAAACACGGCAGCTTGAAAGAACACAGATTTAGTCTTTTTTGGTCATGGAGCCAGGTCAGTTTCTACCGGACTGTAGTCAAACTATGGGCAGTGCTGTTCCTTCTGGGGCCTCCGAGGAGAGAATCTACTTCCTAGCCTCCTCCAGCTTTTGGAGGGGGGCGGTATTCCTTGACTGTGGCCCCATCACTCCCATCTTTGCGTCCGTGATTACAGTTGCCTTCTCTTCCGTGTCAGATCTTCCTTAACCTCCCTCTTGTAAAGACACTGTGATTATAGTCGGGGCCCACCTATGTAACCCAGGATAATCTCCCCATTTCAAAATCCTCAACTTCATATCTGCAAAGCCCCTTTTGCCCTATAAGGCAACATCCACAGTTTCCAGGGTCTAGAAAGATATCCGGGTATCTTTGGGGCCCCTCATTCAGCCTGTGATAGTGCCTGTCATTGTTTCCCTTAAACAAAAAGACACTTGCCTTCTCAAGTGGTGGCCCCGGCACACTGGGCTATGCTCGGAGCTTTTGTCTGCCCATCTGCCGGCAGCACTAACCTGTCCTTCCAAAAACTCTCCTGCTCCGGTAACTCACTCAGAATGTGCCACAGTTTCCAAGTTATTTTGGTTGTTTTTAGCAAAACTTATTCCAGCAATATAATAATACTTAGGGAAATAGTGAAAGCGCTTCATGGATTACAAAGAGTATAAGAAAAAAAAACGAACCAACGAACGAATGAATAAATCAGCTTGTACTTTGAAGCCCCGCTGATCTGGATTTGAGTTCTGGCTTATCACCTATCGTCTGTGGATTCTTGGCTAAGTTTCTTAACCATTTTAAGCAAGAGCAAATCATTTTAAAAATACTATTTGGGGGGCGCCTGGGTGGCTCAGTTGGTTAAGCGACTGCCTTCGGCTCAGGTCATGATCCTGGAGTCC